GGGTAGTCAGGCATTGGAACAGGCTGCCCAGGGAAGTGGTTGAGTCCCCATCCCTGGAGGTATTTAAAAGATGTGCAGATGTGGTGCTTAGGGACATGGCTTAGTGGTGGACGTAGCAGCGCTAGTGATGTCCTGCAGGACATCATTAATTTTCCAGTTATCAAAACTACTAAGCACTTGTGCCTTGGGAAAGGAATTTGGGAGAGAGCTAAAAGATATGGAAGTGTTTGTGTAAGTAACAAACTGTGGAAAATTAACAGCTCCAACCTTGAACAATAGCTAACAAGCTGATAGAAGGGAACATCTTGGCATCAAAGACTAGACGATGGCCAAAGCTGATAAAACTGCAGAAACTGGGTGAAAGATAAACGCGGCGAGGGGAGATCGTGACCACCGACTCAATTCAGGACCGAAAAGACTTGCCCCCCCATACCTGAAAGGAGCATGCGTGCTGATTTACATAGCAAGCAAGACTCATTTAAATATAGTTAACTAATAGTGTGTGAAATGTTAATCACTAACCAATACGTTTAGCTTTAGGCATGTTTATACTAATCATTTAACCTGATAAATATGTTGTGGTTTTGAATGACGGTGTGCTTGATTTGTGGAATTTCCACCGAGCATCCTGCGCAGAATAAAGCCACGTCGGCTCTCTAAATGGGACTTTGTCATTTGTTTGGAAGGTTTTCTCAATTACGAGCAACACTAGGTTAACAGTTGGACTTGATGATCTTAAAGGTCTTTTTCAACCTAACTGATTGTATGATTCTATGGATCTGGTCTGAATATTGGACCCTCTGTTCCCCTCAAGAGAACACAATCCTTTGTTTCCTCTTCTAATATGTAGGGGTTTATATATACTCAATTAAAATCTTAAGAACATATACAGTTATAACTAAGAATAACATGAAATGATTAACACACGCAACTTAAGAAAAAAAAACAAGGAAAGAATTATATTTTGCATGCTCTAACGCTGTTTTCATGACAAATGGAGATGTCAGTGTCAAGAATCAGTCTTCGCATCAGAGTTGCAAGAAGTTGAAAAGACCCTAAAGTGATGAAATACCATTCGTAAGTAGTGTTTGAGGCATTCATCACATTTGGTAGTTTCATTATTTTACAGACTATTAGGTTTTAAGAAAAGAAACAAACAAAAAACCCCAAAACTAAAACCAACACACAGTTTCCACAAATTACTTTCAGAATTGAACAAAACACCACATACCCGAATTTCCCTTCTAGTTTTGGGGTTGAATTGTGTGTTCTTTGGAATTCCTGGAACGATGTACAGCCGTGCTACCTGATCATTAATTCGCAGCTCAATGTATTCTTCTTTGCAGATATAATCTTTTATATCAAATCCAGTTTCTTCAAACACCTGAGCAGCATACAGATGAAATTAGTGCATACGTTCAAATTTATCCTTTCAGAAGTGTATCATCAAGAAGGAAGAAAGCATGACTAGTTTTCATATCTATCCATTAAAGCAGGCCATTACTGACAAAAAAGCCACCAAACCTTTACACGTAGATATATGTGCCCATCAATAGAAAGAGCATCTAAGATCATATGTACTTTACATTTCTCCAAGACAGACTTGTAATAAAAATTTAAACAACCCTATTACAGCATCATGTAGCAATTCATTAATATGGATGGGGAGTCTCTAGCTGCTCCTTCATGCTGCTGGATGCCTCTAAGTCCTATTCCCAGCAAAAATTACTATACTAGGACTGACATACAGACATATTCAAATTCTAACAAGCTTTACTTGCAGCTCAATTTTTCTTTTAATGATCTTTCTACCTTATGAACCCTCTACCTCCAAAATATATAATCCTTTTCAAGTTCATAGTAAAACCCAGCAATAGGGTAGTATAATGTGGTGGTGCAGCCCCCCCCCCCCCCCCCCCCCCCCCCTGCCACACCTTTCCTCCCTTGCCTGGCGTTTGATGCGTCTCAGGAGAAAAGCACACAGAAGCTCTCAGAAATATTCACTTGCCTCCCCCAGCATCAAAGAATATTGTAACGTAGCTTGAACATGGATGGACGAACTTGTCCATGGAGAGGGACCCCGTTAGAGGAGGTGGCAGGGATACCAAAAGCCCAACTCTGTTGCAGCTCTGCCCTTTCCTGTCCATTCTGTTGTCCCCCAGTCTCACCACTTACCTGACTCCTGCTCTGAGATGGAAAAGGCATGCTTGCCTGATAAGACATTGCGGAATACCGTGACACTGCAGCCTGTGGGGAAACTTATGCAAACTTGCTGAAGCAGCAGACCATTCTTTTGCTTATCAGACACCATCAAAGCAAGATACCGACCATTGTCTGGGCTGGGCCAGCTGCCCACCAAGAATATACATTGTTACCTGCCGATAGTCACGTAAAGGCCGCGTGCGCGTGAACAACGCGTGGGGCGTATATGCATGTACCGGACTGTGAACACGTGCCGTATATAAAAGACCGTGGAAACAAACCATGGTGTGCACCCGCCACCGAAGAACTGAAAACCGAGGACCAATGGGACGCCGCTGCATCCATGGTGGTGACTATCCTTTGCTTATCTTTCCGAATGCTTGCTTAGTTTCCTCCTAATATTTCCTGCCTTCCCTATTGCTCCATTCTTCTGCTTTTATCCAATAAACACGGCCTGATAGGCGGCATTTGACCTTGTTTGTGTCTTAAACTCACTCTTGGGATCATTACAAACCTTCCCCAAGCCCAAAATCGGACTGGGACTTTACACAGCGGTACCAAGGTGTCCTGGTTTCAGCTGGGATAGAGTTAATTTTCTTCTTGGTAGCCGGTAAGGGGCTGTGTTTTGGGTTTAGGATGAGAACAATGTCGATAACACACTGATGCTTTGGTTCTTGCTAAGTAGTGCTAAGTTGTTGCTAAGTAGTGCTCACACTGGTCAAGGACTTTTCAGCTTCCCATGCTCTGCCGGGTGCACGGGCAAAGGGCTATTCCATACCATATGACATCATGCTCAGTATATAAGCTAGGGGAAGAAGAAGGAATGGGGGGACATTCGGAGTGATGGCGTTTGTCTTCCCAAGTAACCGTTACGCGTGATGGAGCCCTACTTTCCTGGGGATGGCTGAACACCTGCCTGTCAATGGGAAGTAGTGAATTAATTCCTTGTTTTGCTTTGTTTGCATGCGCAGCTTTTGTTTTACCTATTTAACTGTTCTATTTTATTTTACTTCAATTATTAAACTCTTCTTATCTCAACCCACGAGTTTTCTCCCTTTTACCCTTCTGATTCTCTCCTCCATCCCACTGGGGTGGGGAGAGTGAGCAAGTGGCTGTGTGGTGCTTAGTTGCCAGCTGGGGTTAAACCATGACACAAGGGAGACTCTTTGAGCTCTCCTGGACCGCAGCAGGCTGCGCCAGTATCTCCCTCTGAGTAGGACGCCTCTCAGAGTTACAAATTCTTAAGTTTGCATACAGAGGCCTGACAACAGGACCTGGGCTGATCTCCGGAGCCTTTTACTCCTTGAGACTCGACCTTTGCCCATTGAGACAATCATCTGAAGTCGGTATTTCACTGAACTCGAGGGGAATTTTTACTAGGCCTATTGTGTGTGTATCAATACAAATATTGTAGTAAACGCTATTTAATCACCTTGTAGATGCTAAATTAACCAATGATTAGTTATTGCTAAATTGTTGTGATTCTCTCTTAACTGTGAACAAACCTTAAACTGCTGCTAGACATATATAATCCTTAGACATAAACCATTGACCAAGTCTGACACTAGGATTGGATCCAGCCACACCTATGCTCCTCTCCGAGAAGGAGTTTAGAAAGCAAGGGGGTCCATTCTGAACCTCGTGACTCAACAGGAGGGCCTCCTTTACCCCCTTGTATTTTATTTTCTCTCTCTCTATATATATATGTTCCATTCATTTAATAAGTAATAAAGTGAACCTTGCTATCAAAACTTTGTTAAATCACACTTTTATAAATTTTATTAAAATCACTTTGCAAATATCTTTGACAGTGATTCTTTAAGCGACCTAACCACTCATTTGTGACACATAACTTTGACTACTAAATTCAAACCGGATATTCACACTGACAACAGAACAGTCTAAACTGCACAGGCTGCTAATCTTCCAGACCAGAAGATCATTGTACATCAACGAATTAGTGATCCACATAACAGTTAACCTGAGTATGCCCACACCTGTGCTGCGCTGCACTATGCTGCACATCCAGCTTGGCCTTCAGGCCTGTGTTGCTTTGCACAAATCCCTTGGCTGTAGGACAAACTCATCCAGCTCATTGCAACAGAGGAGCCTGCAGGCAGCTCCTACTCAGTACCAGTGATTACACCACCTGCATGGCCTTGCCTTTATCTAAATGTGCAGCAAGAAATTCTCATGAGAACATAATTTCTGTTTGACTGCAGAAATGATAAACAGAGTTGTTTCCTTGTAAGAAAATCCTATAATAACTTGAATAACTGAAAGGGGAAAATCTCTTCTATGGACAGGGTCTGCATGACATGCTGTGTATTGGTTGGAGTCCTGTTCAATGCTATACTACTCAGAGTTCCCAGCATCTAAAGGGACATAATATTATCTATGCTATTCTCTCCTTATAGTGTTAGCTCTAATAAATAGCATTTAAAAATGCTATCTTACAGGGTCTGAGTGCCTTTCTGACTAGGATCATAACAGAACAGCACTTGCAAAACATACAGGAAGATTCAAGTGAAATGCACCTAATAACTTAGTTGATAAGATCATACCTCTAAACTAGCTCAGTAAAGAGAGTGATTTTCAGAAACTCTCTAGTCCTCAATCTTCACAAGGAGTACAAGTACTCAGAAAACATGCAAGATTGATACTACTGTCCAAGATATTTCTGCTCAGACAGTGGAACATGCATATGACAATTCACTTGTAGAACTGGGTATCAACCCTAGGGCTATAGAGCCACATTGCCAATAGTCCACAGACAGGACTTCTCAATTACTAACAAATAAAGTAAATAAATAAATACCCCCCCCACACACACACACACAAGAAAAACCCAGACAAAAAAAAACACACCACAAAAAAAACCCCACCCAAACAAAAAACCCCAAAACAAAACCAAACCCCCAAACTTACAATTAAAAAGAGGAACAGAATTCAGTAAAGAGTTCATATTAAAAAATAAAAAATTATAAAATGCAGGTATTTCCTTATTAAAACAAATTGCCATTCCATCAAGTTGCAAAGCTGTGCATTGCTCCTTTACAGTAACTTAGCTGTTTCTACAGGGCTTGTGGTTCTGCCTGTGGGTATGTATAAGTGTACTGGTTTTGGCTGGGATAGAGTTAATTTTCTTCATAGTAGCTTGTACGGGGCTATATTTTAGATTTGTGATGAAAACAGTGTCGATAACACACTTATGTTTTTGCTGTTGCTGAGCAGTGCTTACACAGTGTCAAGGCCTTTTCTGCTCCTCACACTGCCCCACCAGTGAGTAGGCTGGGGGTGCACAAGAAATTAGGAGGGGACACAGCTGGGACAGCTGACCCCAACTGACCAAAGGGATATTCCATACCACATGACATCATGCTCAGCAATTAAAAACTGGGGGAAGGAGGAGGAAGGGACGGACGTTCAGAGTTATGGCATTTGTCTTCCCAAATTACTGTTACATGTGTTGAAGCCCTGCTTTCCTGGAGATGGCTAACCATCTGCCTGCTGATGGGAAGTAGTGAATGAATTCCTTGTTTTGCTTTGCTTGTGCACACAGCTTTTGCTTTCCCTATTAAACTGTCTTTATCTCAACCCATGAGTTTTCTCACTTTTACCCTTCTGATTCTCTCCCCCATCCCACTGCAGGGGGGAGTAGGCGAGCTACCTACTGGGGTTAAATCACAACAACAAGGAAAAACAGAAACAAATAATCACATCTAAAAGTAACAATAGCAGCAAATACTCAAAATACCCTGTTCTCCAATGTATATATTGATTCCAGCAAAATGGTTATACATTCCATGTCTGAAAACACAGAGGAAGTTAAGCACAAGTGGGAAAAATATCACTACAAGTGGTTAAATACAAACTGAAAGCTCGCTTTCCTAAAATCCAGGGTCCTGACTCTACTCTTCACCTGGCCCATATCCCTCAAGATTGTGAGTTCCACCAGGGCATGATCACTGCAGCCCAGGCTGCCACCAATCTTGACATCTCTATTTAGTTCTTCCGTGTTGGTGAGCAACGGGTCTAGTAATGCTTCTCCTCTGGTCAGGCTGTCTGGATTAAGACATTTTCCTCTAATTCTAAGGAATATCTGGGTCTCCTGCAGCAATATACCCCACAGATTATTTTATTTTTATTTGCTTGCCATGTAGAATGATCCTTGTTCCTGTATCAAGGAATGATATAAAAGTACAGTTCTTCACAAGTTTTACATAACCTTCTACAATCTCCAACTCATCTCTTTATCCTCTTTACATAACCCATCTAACAGGCTCATTTCCCATTCTTGTACCATCTTACAGTTCTGGTGGCTCTTGAATCAAAATTGTTTTTGTTCATATTGTTCTATAAGCCTAATGCTGACGTTCTTATTCCTCTTTGTTACTGCTTCTGCATACTATATCTTCAGATTCTTGTTCAACTGCAGTGCTTGGGCAAGAAAACATCAACTAGTTATAAAATATACTTTTATTTTTATACCTTTGAGCTACAGCAGCCTTCTATATAAGGGACATTTTCATTATTAATAGAGCCTTCAAAAACAAGAGAGCAGTGTGTGGGGTATTTCGAACTGAAAGTTGGAAATAGATACTTGTTGAAGAGAATAAGTTAACTTCTACTTATCAAATTTTAACTAAAGATGTCTTAAATACTTCTGTTTCCAGTTTTGTGAGAGGAAAGAACCTCATCCATCTTCTTTCTTGACTTCAAAAGCTGTATTTTTACTTTCATGTGAAAACTCTTTGCTGTCCATACCACCAGGAAGATCTCCTGCTCTGTGCTAATAGATTAGGAAAATGCTTCTGTAGCACATTTTTGTTGTTAGGTTTATTTAAGTGAATAAAATTGGCTAATCTTTTTCTTTCTTTCATGGCAGCCGATTTATTTTGCACATTCCAAGTGAAGAGAGAGACAATACAATCAGAGTGTGTTTTCAGATTGAACTTGCCCATTGGTTTTACTTGGATTTCTATGTGCAAAACACGCCAGGATTACCGCAGTGTGGGATA